ATATGAACAGATTTTTACGTGCACCTCTAGTTTTCTCTTCCTCTTCTCTAAAGCAGCGCAGCATGGCCTCGCACCCTTTGCTGCGTGTTCCCGAGGGTGGGGTTTATTTAAAATTCTGGGTTCTTGACGTAACGGACCCGGGAAGTAACTCGTTGTAGTCCCTTTCTAGTCGTTTTTGTAGGCATTAAACTGCCAGAATTTTAAAAGACGATATCTCCGTTTGCATTGAACTGTCAGCTTCTTAACTTTGCAGATATTGTTTATGCTCAAACAGCAACATTACACACTAACTAACATTAAAAAAGTGAAATCGCAATCAGCCACCCCTTTAATCGAGCTACAGTGTTCATCTGTCTGTCCAAGTATACGTGACAAAAATTGGGTAACTGAATATATGAAGGATCTTCTGAAGCAAGCACACAAGACCAAGGCCGATTGTAGTTCAATTAATGTATACATTACCACTGGGGTCAGTAAGTATTTATTTATTTATTTTTTTTTTTTATTAACACTTAATTAATGCAAGGATGCATTAAATTTATCAAAAGTGACAGTAAAGACATTTATAATGTTACAAATTATTTATATTCTAAATACTTTTTTGAACTTATTGAAGAACCTGAAAAAAATTATCAGTTTACACAAAAATATAAAGCAGTACAACTATTTTCAACATTGATGATAAGAAATGTTTTACTTGAGCCCTAAATCAGCAAATTACAAAGATTTCTGAAGGATCATGTGACACTGGAGTAACGGCTGCTGAAAATCAGCTTTGCCATCACATGAATAAATCCCATTTTAAAATATATTTAAATAGAAAATGGTTATTATAAAACTTTAATATTTCATAAAATTACTGTTTTTACTGAATTATTGACCAAATAAATGCAGTCTTTGTGAGCATAAGGGACATCTTTCAAAAACATTAACAAATCTTACTGACCCCAAAAACCTGATTTTAGTCGGACTTTAAACTTTCATATGACATATCAAAAAAAGACAAAATTACTGTTTCAATCAAACTGAAATAGAACGATATTTGGCTTTGGCTAAACAACAAGTAAATGGGATATTCATCAGCACAACTGTATATCTGGCTTGCTATTAACTCATGTCTGTGAAACTATCTGTACTTTTTGACAGACAGAACCATTAATAGAGACTGCTGTTTTTTATTATGGTATGACCGATTTCAGATTCACCCACCTCTAAACAGCACATAAGAGCAAGTTTCTTCCTGTCTAAGTGGGTTGTTCCTGGCCAGAATAAAGCTGTAAAGTGGACCAGTCAAAATATTGGCTTAGCAAGACACTTAATGCTTAAATGAACAAGATACAGCACATTACTGAGTATGCACTCAATGTGCAATTTGCAGATTTCTCTTACAATGGCAGTGTAGACAAGAATGATATGTAATAGCTGTTTTACAAGACACAACTGGGGTAAACAAAATATGCTATGATCTGGTACATAATTAATGTACAAGATGTCATTTACACAAGTAGGACATTTTCCTGAATCAACATTATTTACAGGAATGAGTCCAATCAACCAGTCAGCACCTGCTAATTTTAGGCATTAATTTAGCATTACAGAAAGAGTGAGATCTATGATCACCTGAAAAGAACGTTGTTCCAAGGACAACAAAGGTAGTCCATCCAGGAAAATGTCACACTCGTGGTAAGCAGAACAAATATTTGAGTGTTTGAGTTATGATAAAGCCAGCAACCACTGATTAAAAATTGTTAACATGCTATACAATTGTTTAGAGTGTTTGCAGTTTTGTGACAAGTAATAACTGATTATTGATAATTTATTTCATCATAAACTCACATGAAGTTTAACTTTTAACATCCCATCAAAAAACCTTAAAGTGGTAGTTCAATGAAAAAAAAAAAGAAAATGCTCTCATTATTTCCTCACCTCTCAGAATTCATTAAAAATATCTTCATTTTTGTTTCGAAGTCACATGGTTGTGGAACAACATGAGGGTGAGTAAATTATGATACATTTTCTATTTTTGGGTGAACTATCCCTTTAAGCTAATATTTCCTGCCATTTCTAAGATTTTACAACTGATTTTCTACATTAAATGGATATCTTATCAAAAAAATTTTTTTTTTCACCCACTTGTCCTGTCCATACCTTCATGGCTTTTTTTTTTTTTAATGGAACACATGGTTTATCAGAATGTCAGAGATGCATGTTCCATATAATGAAAGTGAATGGTGACCAAGCGCTATTAAGTGCCCAAAATAACACATTTTAAAAAAAATCACCATAAAGCATCATATATGTAATCCCTACGAATCATACACTATATTCAACGTTTTTTAAAACCAAATAACAGCTTAGTGCGAGAAACAGACTAAAATTTCAATTATGACAGATAATTTTGCTTGACAGCCATGGTCACTATTCACTTTGAATATATGGAAAAGAGCAGCAGCAATCTTCTAAACGTTCATTTATGTCCCACAGAAGAAAACTGGTGAAAATTCATATACTGTAGGTGGTGAAAGTCATACAGGCAAAGAAAATTAAACTTTGAACTCTTTATTTTTTAAACACTAACATATATGCAAACTGAACACAAGTTGTCCTGTTATCTCCAATCCCCAATAACTGTTTATTTCTCTTCCTCATTTCCACTTCCAAATGCTCATCCATCTCTTGTTACCTCCCTCAACTCTCTCTCCTCCCTATAACCTCTCCTGATTTCAGCTTTCATCTTGTGCCGTTAGCTTTACTGATTGTGTGCCGGTCCTCAATAAGAACACGTCCCCTGGTGAACTTCCCAGGCTGGGGCTCTGAAAGCTAAACCACTGGAGTAAGTGCAGCACGGCTTCACTTAAATAGGAGATGACAATCATTCTGCACTCTGTAGTAGATGCCCGGTTTCCCCTAGCAGCTGCAAATTGGCCAAATCGGCACCTCGGCAAACTAGCCTCAGCTCAGTGCATCCCGCTAGACCGTCGGGCTATTTCACCACGAAAAATGAATGCGAGGGAGGAGAGGATGGAGGAGAGGAAAAGAACAGAAGGAATGTGTTGTCTGATTTGTCAGCCCTGACAACACATTTGCTTCCCCCTTTTGTAAACAACTAGCCACCTATAAAGCCTAGAGAGGTTTAGAGGGAAACAGGAAATGAAAACGAGGCAGACGGCTCACCAAGGACACACACAGATACACTCGTCTCACTACACTGACATTTTGGGAGAGTTTTGGGTGCCTTGATGATGCGATCATGTTGACATGCACATTGTTAGCCAGATAGCGAGAAATGACTCACAGCAGGGTGATGATGGGGCGGGCGCCACACCGTCTGAGTGGATTTATCATGATGAGTTCTTCTCTCACCTTTGACCCCTGACTTCTGGTGATGACATTGACATCTCACCGGCTGAAAGAAAAAGAATCAAAGCAATAATAATTTGATTTACACACATTCTAAAGAAAGAGTGGTTTGAATGTCTTATCCATTCAAAACTTGCTTCCATAATGCTAGAGTGCTGTGAGAAGTTTCCAGGGCATTGTTAGTAGAGAGAACTTGATAATTATTGTTTTTTTTTATGACCAATAACCATACCAAATTTTTATGTTAGCTAATTTATAGTGTTCTGATAACCAATTTTAAGAACTGATAGTTTAATTATTGTTTTATTTTTGACAGACATGGCATAACTACAAAAAAAAACATTAAAGTACAATAAAAACAATGCATTATGAATTAATAATAATAATCAAAATAATAATAAATAAAGTTTAATACATTATTCATAATTTCTTTTTGTCATATCTATGCAAAGTAGTTTCGCAATCTAAATTTTCTTAGAACCATTTTTCAGTGTTTTATTTTTGACAAGTGACAACTAAAAATCATTAAACAACAATGCATTATGAATTATTATAATTAATGCTAATAATAAAATAATTTAAAAAACAAAATTAAAATAAATGAATAAATTAAAATAAAGCCATTTATTATTATTATTATTATTATTATAAATGGTTTAATACATTATTCCTAATAAATCATTATTTTTATATTTACGCAAAGTAGTTTTGCGATCTAAATTTTCTTAGAACCGTTAAATATTTTTTAAAACTATTTAAACAGAAAACTCTGAAATCAGGTTGTTAGTAACAGCACCTCTCCTAAACAAGCCACATAATTTGAGGTATCATTCATGGCAGTAGCACAAGAAGTGAGGGAGAGTTTAAATTCCCTAACCAATGTATAAGTAATACTGATCCTTGCCTTAACCACCACTAATAACATACTCTTGTTCTAATGTAAAGAAATCTCAATTGCTTTCATCATTGCTTTGCAATCAGCATAATGCAAAAGAGGTGAGCAAGTTTATTAGTGCTAATGATATAATTGCTTACTGAAGGTGACAGTAATTGGGATTAAAGGTTAAAGTGCACATGTTGATGCACCATTTGCTGTTTTTATGGCTTGGAACGGTGAAGTTAATGAACATTATGAGATGTGGGTTTGTTCTGAGAACATCTTGTCCTGATTTATTGATTTATCTTATTCATGCAGACATGGAGTTAGCATGACTTTATCTTCTAGCAGACACTCCAGGCTCCGATTAGCCACTCATGTATTATGTATTTAATTTCAATCAATAAAAATGGTCAAAATTAGCACAAGTGTGAATGTGTCAGGAATGGCGATGGCTCACAGATTGCTGATGCTGTTGATGAGCGAGTCGTGTAATGATTTTATCTTTATTTTTCAGCTCTTCCCTGAGATGCGCCACCTCCTTCATCAGTTCTTCCATCTGACACACACAAATACAAAACAAATACTAAAATCATACACAAAAAATATTAGATTGTATACATATAAATAACAAGTGTACAGAATGGAAAAAGGGGTGCATAGAGCTGTTGGTGTCAATTTATAGGCCAAAACGCAAGACTAATTCACCATGGGTTCCCTCTGGAATTATTAATGGCTTTTTACAATAGCAGTTTGCAATTTATGAATATAATAAGGTCTGTGGTAAACATTACTTGAGATATATTAACGCTTCATTCTACCTCATAAATTACACACAGCTCAAATGTGAATTATGAAACAGTGTGCTTTAAAAACACAAGCTACTACACTAGGAACCTCATGCACTTATAGTTTTAGCCTTTATGTAGCAACTTGCTCGCAACATGTATTTTTAACAGCTTCAAAGTTTATGTTTTAAGATATGAATGCGTGTAATTTATGCTATAGAACCGGGACAATTTCTTCCAGTATAAGCATTTAGAATTTGAAAACCACATTTATAGATACACATTAGAAATTCCTGAGGGAGCCCATGGCTTGAAAATGCCAATGTCCTTTTTCAGGGTTTAGGACAGCAAGCTGAACAGCTCTATTCAGGTGGGTGTTTACGGGATGTTACAGACCTGCTGGGCTCTGCTGTCATCTTCTCTGGAATCCAAACTCTCTGGAGTAATCTCACCATCATCCATCTACATAAAATTACAATTTATTCAGGAGTTAAAATGCTCATGTTTACAACTTATCCGGTTCTTTTATTCTTTCCTTCTTTTTGTTTTAGCCCTACACTAGTGCTGGGCGGTATACCGGTTCATACCGAATACCGGTTTAAAATACCGTGATATCAATTTTTGGTCATACCGCCCAGCACTACCCTACACACATACTAAAAGCTGCTCAGAGGGTAACAGCTGGGTTTGCATATGTAAGTGCAAATTTGACTCTTCCAGCTGTGTGTGTGTGGTACCTGCAACAGACTCTTAAGTTTGAGCAGCTGTGATTTGACAGATGAGCAGTCCTCCGTCATGTGCTTGAGAGTGAGTTCATCTAGCGCCACCGTGTGACTGTCATGCTGAACTGCAGGATGGAAGGGCCGATGGCCTGTATGACAGGCATCATAATGAAACCCAGCCAGCCTAAGAGAGAGTTCAGATTTAATATAATTTATAGAAAGAAAAACAAGAAAAATAAACAAAAATCAGCATCAAAGCATTAAAGAAAATCTTTCTTGATCTTTGAAACCAGAAGTGATGAAAACAAACTGCAACTTTCAGAAGTCAAAACTTTCTCTCCAGTTCAAAAAGACTTCAAAATCAGCCAAATTCCAAACTTCATGATGTCAACCAGAATGCACAGACTACTTAGTAGTCAGATGACTATTCACACATCAACAACGTCTATTCAATGTTCTGGAAATTGGCATTATTATTTCTAAATCACCAGAAGATATTTTTATTCCTGTATATATCTGGCAATTAAAGTTTCCTTAATGTGGCTGAAGTTTATTTTTAACAACGTCTCTCATATCAACATTCTGACTTCTGTTTCATCACTCTGACTAACATGTGTGACATATTTTGGTGCAGTTGCTTTGTTAACTTGTCACAATCTACACTACCGTTCAAAAGTTTGGGGTTTTTATGTAATTTTTGAAATAATTAATACTTTTATTCAGCAAGGATGCATTAAATTAACCAAAAGTGACAGTAAATACATTTATAATGTTGCAAAAGACTTCTATTTAAATGAATGCTGCTGATAATACATTGATAATTTCATGTTTCTTGAGCACCAAATCAGCATATTAGAATGATTTCTGGCAATATGACACTGAAGATCGGAATTATGGCTGCTGGGTCTAGTTTTGCGGCCACAGAAATAAATTACATTTTTAAATATATTAAAATTGAAAACAGCTATTTTAAATAGTTATATTTCATAATAGTACTTTTTTTACTTTCAAATAAATGCAGCCTTGGTGAGCATAAGACACTGCTTTCAAAAATATTTTAAAAATGTTACAGACCCCAAACTTTTAAACAGCTGTTCATGAAAGTTGGTGCAGCACAAATTATAATGAACTATAATGCACTATAATGAAAATTTAATTCTGAGGGTCAGAGATCGGGTAAAAAATGATAATAAAAAAAATAAACTATATTAAATTAACTATTAATAATGTTGCTGATGCAAAAAAAAAAAATATTATGAATGGATCTCAGAGCAAAAGAAATATTAAGAGATTTAATATAATATAATTAAAATAATTAACCCTGTATTATACATTTTACAGTTCTAGTCCTGGATGATATATATAGTATTCCACTTAGACTAAAATATAATTTATAGTAAATATATAATAATTAGGGTTGGGTATCGTTTGAATTTTATCGATTCCGATTCCGGTTCCGATTCTGCTTATCGATTCCGATTCTTATCGATTCCTAATTCCGATTCCAATAAGATAAAAAAATCCATTAAACAAATTTTAAGTCAAATATTTAGATGTCAAACATATTTATTCTGTTTTATGTCTATGGTTTTATCAAAAAAAATACCACAGAAAAAAACAACTAGACTAATATAAATTTCAAACATTAAATTGTTAAAGACAAGTAAACAAATTAATTAGCAATAGCATAAATAAATAAAACTGAACAAATGTCAGGTAGAGAAATTGAAGTCAAAAGTTTAAAAACACTGTATAGTTTTCTTTTCATAAATAAAATATTGATTAATCCTCTTTAAATTTACGAAAGATATTCAGTCAGTTAATGATTTTCTTTTGTTCTTTGATTAACATTAAAGGGTTAGTTAGTTCATCCAAAAATGAAAATTAGGCTGTGTTTTACTCACCCCCGATGCATCCTAGGTGTATATGACTTTCTTATTTCAGA